CAATCGTAGCAGGTGTTGGTACATTTAATAATCGCTGACGATCTTAATTATTGTAGCCGACTCCATCAACCATTGGCAGCCACAATAATCGTTATCTATCTTAAGAGCAAGTTGAGGCCGTAGTAGTCACTAGCAACCTTCGTGGCCTTTAGAGAGCTTTGTGCCGTAGAACTCAACAAAGACGAGCTGCAGCTTTTGTTACGTAAAGATTGCGATGCTATGGTCTAGGGCTATTATTACATTCCCAGGCGATGCCAGCATATCACTTAGCGAATCTTTTCTAATATGTGATCACATCGATCAGTGTCTGTTCTTCTTTAAATAGCTAGTTTTAAAGAACATGCCAAGAGTGTTGCAAAATTTAAAAAAAATACAAATTCCTTATAACTTAATGAAAGCTGACACACGTCCTTGAAAACGAACCTAATAGTTTCTAATATAATCTATAGCAGTTATGCGATGAGTGCATTTCCTTAATTCTGTAAATGGGATTGTTCTTTAACAATGAAAGCAAACGGCAATAAACATTATTCCGCCCACCTAATAACTAAATTTTATTTAAAATCTATCTAATCTTATAGTGCATAGAGAAATCTATTTAAAAGAAATGCGTCAATTTTTATATAAAGAGCAACAATAACACCACGTTGACGATGACGGTAATGTTTAAATTTATTTAGTCACAAAAGAAATAAAAATTTCGCCTGTCACCACGTGCTGCATGTATGAATCTTAAAATTCAATTATATCGTGAATGACTTATGTTCATAAATAGTGAAGAGAAGTTATTCAATACGAAGGAAATATAAATATAAATAAGCAGGTGAATGATTTTTTTTTTTTTTTTCAAATTAATTAATAAAAAAATAACTGAGTTTATGACGTAACGTTTACTTTTAGAATGAAAATATATTGTATATATATATTCACATACAAAAAAAAAAAAAAAAAAAACGAAAGATATTTAATAAGTAGGTTTAAAAATATCAACTACTCTCAAATATCTAATGACAGAAAATAAATAAACGTGTAGGAAAAAACTATGTGCAACTTACGGCGAATTTTAGGCACCCATTGCAATTTATAGCAAATATGCTCGCAAATTGATGCACTACACGTGCATAAACACACAGTGCTATACATATATACATGCTATCGCTATTCAGGGAGCCTTCACTCTAGACCTATACATGATGACGGTCAGAAAGGATTGTAAATAGAGGAGACGAGCAAAAAAAAAGGAATTAATGAAATTAATGTATCTTCTTAAGACTCACAACGCTCAATATTATTTAATAAAAGAAAATACCTGATCTAGTAATCAACGGTGTTTTCATGAAAAGTCTTAACCAAATCACCCTTTGTGTATATATGCATGTGCATATATATATATATATATATATATTAATGCTACTCAGGGAGTGTTAGGTCTGTACATAGTGACAGTTCGAATAAACGAAGGCCGATAAACTTCAATATCTTTTAATAGACGAAAATATCCGTGTACTTTTTTTTTTTCAACCAATGGTCAAAGGCTTGGTGCCGTTTTACGTGGGGAATATCAATCGAATTCTACGTGATCCGTTTAAAATTTTCTTCAAATCGTATAACCTCCCTAACCTATATAATATATATATAATTCTATATAAACTATACATACACATGTATATATATATATATATATATATATATATATGTCCTTCAGTCCTCTATTTTAATATTTACATCATCAAGAGACGATTAAGAATCTTTCATTTACAGTGTATAGCGTGATAAGCAAGCATTCCTTGGCATTGCAAATGAAATGACAAAACTAGAATACTTCTATCCTCCCGTGACGGTTATAAGATATATATCTATATATATACATACTTATATATACAAAGTGCAATGAAACTGGGACAAATCGCCAAACGCACACATATATACACACACACACACATACACACGCAGTCGCGCACATGTAAACAAATAAACAGTCAAACACACGCAGTCGGTGGTCATTTAAACAAGCACCGACAAACACACGCGCGCATACACATCCAAAACAATTGCTTTGCAAGTTTAACGATACGTATTAGTTGGGTGGCATTTGTAGACACCTAAAAAGTAGATAAAATGTAAATGACTCCGCACACTTACATGCTTGTAAGATGCCTTTACATGCTTATTATATGCACATATAAACATATATATATATATATATATATATATAAACATATTTAAGTGCCGCCTCTAATAACCTACACATAAGTTCGTACCAAAAAACGCCCATTTATGAGTTTCAAAATATTTTATTAAATAATTAAATTCTTTTTATGACTTCAAAGACACAAAACTACATAATTTCTTTAACATATTCGTTTACAGCCGCACATACATAGCACATGTATACTTTAAAATGAAAAAAAAAAAAAAAAAAATGTAAAAATTGCAAATTTTTTATTAGGGAGTGTACAGTACAGCAATTGGCAACAGAAGGGTTTTTATATGAATTAACATAACATAAATATATATGGCGCCTGCTTGTCATAGTTGGACACTATTCAATCTTAGCGTATGATTAGACAATGTGTAAAATGCATATTTCAAAATTTAATTTTTGCAAGCACATGAGACAGTATAACAAATTTGATTATGTTTTTGCGACGAATTATTATCAAAAAAAAAAAGTTTGTTTTCTTCCCCTGCCCACCTGCGACCAATTTTCTATATGTTAATTCGAAGACATAGTCTTAACAAGACTATTTTATTTTATTGCTTTTGAATAACATATAGTTTGCTTAGATTATTAAACGTACATCAAATTATTATGGCAAACACATACATAAACATGAACAAGAGCAAAAAATAAATTATTAAAAGAACTGGTACTCACAACACTTGTCGATCTATTTGTCTTTTATTACATCAATAACCGCAGGATGAGGATGTAGTCGAAAACGTTTACAACGCCAAGAAGAGAGCTTCAGAGATTCCGTAAAATATATATATATATATATATATATTCTTGATCAATATCAAATTCTAAACGGCATGCCCGATTGTCCATCTATCTAGTTTGTCTGTCCGTCTGCTTGCGTAACGTCTATGGTAAACATTCCTATGGTCGCAAAGAGGAAGCCATCGTTAAAAGCCAGCATTGAAAGTCCATGCACGCAGATTAATATTTGACTAGAAATCGGGTTAAATCGGCCAATGGGCAGACCTAACGAAGAATATGTCTGCTGTCTGATCATATATCATATCATAAACCAAATTAGACATACAATAAAACCAGAAAACTATAAAAAATGATAGCGCAACCAGTCCAAACAAACAGAATCCCGTACGGGTATCGATCGATTGGTGCACGATGGTAGCCTTTTTCTTTTTACATTGTTTTCATAAATTATTTTTGGTTAAACGTTTCAAGAATATTTATTGACGAATGTATGACCCGACATGACAGATACCATAAGTAGTCATCCGAGAGTCCGATTAAATTTGATTGGCATCAAATGTGAATTTCTTTCCCATTAGTTGCTCACGAATAATAAGATATTTACCCCCGCAATTTCTATGTCTTAGGCAATACTACTGATATCACTATTTTTGTACCCTATAACGCTTATAGTATATTAACGCTAAGGGTAGATTAGGTTTGCGCAAATGTGTGCAATAGTCAGAAGGACCAAAAAGTAATTTCGTGTTTTACTATACCTATCGATTCAGAGCTCGAATCCGATTCTCCGATTCGGATTTCTGAACCGCTCTCAGCTTGTCTGTTTTCTTGAGTTTAACCTTCAGTACGCAATTGTTGTGACCAACTTTTCAACCACTGCCCACATTCTGAAAAGCCTCATTCTGAAAACTCTTTAAACGAATAACTGTGCTAAAGGAAGTAATATAGCGTATTGCATGATTGGCCATGTTCCATTATAGTGCTTTTAACTTGTTTGTTTCATATATTTATTTATTCATTTTCTATTTGATCAGCCACATGCGCTTGTGATCACGAATTATTACAGATAGAACGGAACACTAGAGATGATCGTAAAAAGTAAGTCTTTATATACAATTTGCACAATTTATGACAAAGACGGGTCATCGGCTGGATTAGGCGAAATAGTGTAGGGCATTTGGCAGTCGTCCTTTGCCCGATTAGGCACCTACAATTCTTGACTTGCATTTTCGCACGAATATACCAATGGAGGGCAACGCTTGTTTACCTCTGTGAAGACCATTGGCAATAATTCGACAACGTACTTGCCTACAGACTAAGGGAGTAAATGTTAAATAACAAATTCGTCCCTGGCCATTAACACATGTATATAGACGATATACGGCAACAAGTTTAACAGTCGTCTTCGCCACTACTTTACCTAATACCGTTATTTGCTACATCGTTTTAGTTTCTTGATATGTCGACGACGTCGTACAGAGTTGTAGAAGCAATTAATTGTTGTTTCTTTGACTCAACCTTCTATTCATTGTAATCTCAACATTTTGATAAAGACCCGAGGAACCTGTTTTATGTTTTTCTGATGGTAACAACATTGTATGGTTAAATATTGATATGAATCGATAATCAATGTTATATTTTTCAATTGTTATGCCAAAATGCAAGAAATAATTTGACGAGTTCCTACCCTAGAAAATCATTACTTACTTTAATGTTGATTTTTTGATTGATTGGTTTGTCTAAACCGATTATTAAGTTAATTAGAGCTGATTGCAGATTTTATCAAACCAAAATCTTGTCTACAGCAAACACATGATTAGTTCCATTACATTTTCATTGATTTTAGTTATTCTATGACTATGGTTGGCTGTAATTGTCATAATTGACTGAGTAATTTGTAACATAACTCTCTCATAACTGCAGTTAATATTAATATGAATTCTTTCAACAGTTAACAATTTCAATTTAGATATACAAACAAGTTAAGGTGATAATTGCGAGGCTTCGATGATCGTCATAAGAAAATATTTCAAAAATTTAATTGGAAAATACTTACGTAAATTAAACCAGAATAGTATCTGTCTTTGATGTTGTGCAAGACGGACGCCTCATTGAGGCAGGTCAATTCGGCCATATCTTCAACTTTATCGAACTTCGGTGGATTCATTTTTTGTATGTCGTCACGTAACACCATAACACGCTTACCGGTTTCGGTAAGTTCAACTTCAACTTCATCGCCATGTTCACGCTTAATACTGGCAGCAACGAAACCCTAAAACCAAAAAAAAAAATAAATGTAACATGAAAAAAAAGAGTAAATAAAATCTGTGAAGAAAGCAATGTAAAGGAACGTTGATCTTGATTCTATTGCAAGTATTGTTAAACATTAAGAGAAGAAAAAAAAAAAAAAAAAGCACAAGCATACAACGTAAAGATAACGGTAATCATTTCATTTCTAAAATTTTACTCAGTCAGAAAATTTGACTGGAAATGAAACGAAATCCGTGTATCACACAGAAGAGAGTGATTAATTTTGACCGATGTACAACATATGTGTGTGGGAAGACTCCCAGGATAATAAGGCAAATCAAGTGATGGATCTTTCACCACACTGTTCACCCAAACTTCCATAACTCAGCAGCTGAGTATTTGAACGTCCAAGGCGTTGACTTAATAATAGGCCAACGCCCCTATAGCTTTCAACTTAAAACGTCAACTTTAAGCGTTATTGCAGATATCTGCCAATGGGAAATACTTATGGGCACTAGTATGTCATATCTTTCGTCAAAGATAATGTATTCAAAAAACATGGCGATCGTATCGACGCTCAACATTACGTAGTCCCATCTGATTTTTGTCAGATACTGTGCCCGTAAGAATTTAAACACCATAGAAATTCTTGATTGGTGTAAGATTTCGGGTCGATTTAACCATATCCGTCTGTCTGTTGCATGCCTCGATATAAACACTTTTAATTGATGGCCACTGACGGCCATAGAACGTGGACGTCTACAAATTGCTCAAACTAGGCGAAAAACGGAGGAAGGCGTCTAAAAAGTATCGATCTAAAATAATGCTGCAATTATATAGGTTGTGAACCACGAAGAGCTCAGCGCGGAAACGATCTCAACCGGTCCTTGTCAAGCAATCATCTGAGAAGTGTATTTCAAGTAGTAATCAATAAAAATCTCCCCAAGATTAAGTATATTTTTTTTTAGTTATATGTTGCTGGCTTCACGTAAGGAAGTGTTCATATTTTTAGCCTGAGCAACACTAAAAGATGTCGGACGCCACCTGTCTTTGCCATTCGAAAGTTTTACATTTTTCATCATAACTTTTTTCAAAACGGTTTATCATTTGAGCATGTTTGTGGGTTTACGGCGACTTGAAAGCGGCGTCTCAGGCATAAAATTTAACTCAAAAAAATTGAAAGAGTACATCAACCAACGTACCTCCGCTTGCAAAGGACCCAAAAAAAACTGCTGCGTGTAAAAACTGGGAAAGCCAGGTAACCATCAGGCATATCTTTCACCAGCTTGTACAAAGTATTACGAGATTTTGCAGCCGTTAGAAAATAGGGGAAAGAAAAACACCGATCGCAAGGCAATGCGACCGTTCACACATCTACTCTAACAACTGATCAGACTTGATTTCTCAATAGTCAAAAATCAATTGCACAGGCAACGATTTTCGTCAGCAGAAGGAACAGTTGTTGGTTTCACAAAACCGCATGTTTTCGAGATGCCTCTAGCGTAGTGGAAAAAATGATCTAACAAATAATTCGATCTTTTGTAAAAGTGTATAAGTCTTCAAGGAGATTATCTTGAAAAGCTATGAAGTAATTTTTATTTTTACATTGTCACGCTTAAAATAAAAATAACGCTTAACCGGCAGCGGCGCTGCTCGAGATGCATGTGCAAGAAGATATATTCCGCTCAGAGTCGTTTGCAAGAACCTAAATGACGTCTACCACTTATTCTCGTTATCGGACCCTTTAAAGTCCATTAAAGCAACATTGCTTAATACGCGCGATTTACCTATGTCGTATTTAAACTAGCTTTCATCCTTAAAAAGTCGTTACGTTTCGAAAGTGAATTATTGTTAATTTATTATCGGTTGCCAGGCTTATGCATGTTTGCGATGGCTTAGGGGTTCATTTGCAATTTGGTCCTGTACCGGTTGTAAGTGTGCTCCTATGCTGATAGTGTACATGCTTTTTTTTTCTTTTTTCTTTTTCTTTTTTTTTTTTCTCTTCTTATTTGTTTTATTATGCTTATACTCAATTTTATTGTTAATTAATATTAGTTTTGCATTAAGAGCCTATTGAACTCAACTGTTACTTGTTTAGTTGAGTTTCTAGTATAAGTGGAATAAAATAAATAAATAAATATTGATCGAAAATTTGATACAAATATTTATTAAAAATAGACATAAGAGCGACAGATTTGTCGCCCAAGTAAGTGACGGCAATAATTAAGAAAAAATTTGGTCGTATTACATATGGGAAACTTGGCAAATATCCAAGACTTGGCACAATGCGATTGAAAAGTTCTTTAAGATCTTAAAAAAATGAATACATCTTCGTCGTACTTATTCAGCTTCTTTTGGAAGTGAAATTTTGTAAAGTACACCTGCGTTTTGTTGCGCGCTTTTATAACGCAAGATTTGCATCAAATTGTTTATTTTTTCTGCAAGTTTTTCAATTTAAATTTTTCCAAACGCGTCAACGCCATCAGATTTACAAGAATTTCTCATTTAAAAAACCTTGAACTTGCATTTTGCGCTAAAAAAAAAAAAAAAACATGCAACTGATGCCTGATATTGTCGTCACTAAATGCTGATGCTGTTCGTTCGTATTGTAATTGTTATTGTTTGTATATTCGTATTCTCGTGTTTTAATGTTTCAATGGAATCAAATGAAGCGAAACAGTGGAGGAGAACTATTTTTTTTTTTTTTTTTTTTTGTGCCAAGAAAGAATACGAATAACATCTGCAAACGTTTGTATAATACTAAGAAAGGAAATGAAAAAAAAATTTAAAAAAAAAAAAGAAGAAAAATATGCGCAAAAATGTTTACAAACAAAACAAAAGATTATATGCATCATAAGCATACACAGACAGGCAGTGATCAGACTCGCACAACTCTCTGTGCCAAAAATAACGATTTTATTGCATTTGCGTATAGTTTTCAAAAAAAAAAAAAAAAAAATAAAAAATAAAATAATAATCAAATGGAAGGAAAAGTAAAACTAATTTCAATAATCATTTCTTTTATTATTTTTTATATGAAAAATTAGTCTCGTTTACATGTCGTAAATAATAAAGTTGTTCGTTCGTCCAATTCACTGAAAAGTTGTTGTTAATAGCTCTGTAATAATTTCCTGTTTTTTTTTTTTTTTTTTTTTTTTTTTTTATTATTTTTTCTACACTTCCATGCTTCCATAAATAAATCGTTTAATATTTTTTGTTATTATTTCTTTTATTCATTTGTTTATATTCTTATGTTATGTTATTCACTTTCTGTTGAAATTCTTTTCATTGGCAGCCGTTGTCTTTAAGAGTTCAACGTAATGATTGCTTTAATGGTTTTTCGTTTTCTTTTCTTTTCTTTTTTTTTTTTTTCTCATTTAAAGGTTCACTGACTTTGGTGGTTTTTCAATTACAGCAACAGTGTTGCCATCTGATCTCAGTCTTATTTAAATTAGAATATTAACTTTATTATTATTATTCGGTAGAAGATTTGATTGCATGGCTACGCTGAGCTCATTGCAAAATAAAAAATTCATTTAAAATTTAAAAACTAACAAGTAAAAATACTACATTGGTTCACCGTTCACTATTAAATACCCTACGCTCTCCTAGAGTTATTCGTAGAACAACTTTTCAAAACGGAGCGATCCGAACTATTTCCAATGGCGTTCGTCTTTAGGCCAAAATATGTCAGTATATTAAATTTCATCAAAATATCTCGAAAATTACGGCCTGTAGGCGAGACGGACAGACGGACAGATAATCTTAGATAAATTCACGACAATTTTGTCATTCTTACCGTTTCAGAAGCTATTTCTGAATCCATCTAAGCTTGTCTGTCTGTCCGTCCGCTTTGTTTCTCGCGTTCATTTTCTGTTATAATAAAAAGTGGGTCTGTCTGAAGCCATGCTTGTGTGTTGCGTACACCCGTGCACACTTAGTATATCCTTATATTGCAAGTAGTACAGAGCACAAAATTGAAAAAAGCATTTAGCACATTTCTTATCTTCTAAGCCAGGAAAAAATGTCGCCTCTTTGTAGATAAAATCTGCAATAATCCCAACGAGGAGGAAGTTATGCTCATTGTTATCGTCACTTGTCGGCCTGTAGTGAAACAATGTTATGCAGTTGACGAAAGTTAATGGCGACACAAGTACCGAGACCTAACATAATCCATCTATCCGTAAATGTTTTAATGTAAATTTAGGATCAACTCCTTGACCTACTCGCGAGTTCTCGATAGTGATCGCGAAAGCAACGAAAGCAATTACCAAATAATAAACAATGTCTTGGCGCCACTAAAGTTTTTAAGAATCAACGAACAGAAATGATTTAATATTGAAAAGCCTTTCAATCTTGTTTCAATAAAATTTTGGTTAGGCAAACTGTGATTTTACTTGTATGGCAGCACATCTCAGAACCAAATGCCATTTCTACAGCATTTGCAAAATACCAAAAACGTAAACTAAATTGTCTAACGGGACATTTTTAAAATATAATCATAGAGCCTTGTTACATGCATTTTACGTGTACTGCAAGTGAGAGCAGGGATTGGGGATTTAAAAGCCATTGTGTCACGACCCATGAATGTGTTCTAAATTAAAAGGCGAAGGGACAATTTCTTGAAGTGGAAGTTTGGTTAATTACTAGATCGGCAGGACTCTGACGAGTGTGACATTGAACTTAAAGATACTAGATAAGAAAGTAGATATCCTTAGATAATATAAATTCATTTTTAATGATTTAATGCAGCAAAACTCGTCTCTTCTTTTTCTTCTGAGATCCAGCCGTTATATAGAATTTTCCACCGCAACTCGTCAATTTAATGGGTAATTGTTGTGAATCTTCACAGTCGCAAAAATGAAGATATGAGACTGATATCTTGCACAAGCCTGTCTTTATCGATTAGGAAAATGAAGTTAAAAAATAGATGTGATCTGTTCACCTATAGGCTCGCAATGTAGGGGAATCTAAGACAACCTCGGAAAGCGACAACGATGTTTCAAATTTCCGGCTATAACT